AGACTGTGCTCTGCTCGTGCACTGACAAAAATTGATCTCTGCATTAATTAAAGCCTCTATTGTAAGTGACCTCGAGGTGCTAATGCATTTTAAAAATGAAGCTTCACCAACAGCAAACTAATACACATAGGGGTGACCAGGTAGAGATTCCTGCCACGGGGTGGTCTGCCTCCCTCTGTGTCAGTGATGTGTCCCAGGATGGTGTCTGACTCCACAAGCACATGCCTGCCCATGGTTCACCCTCAAATCCCTGTGTCACCAGACAGGACACAAAGCTGATGTCCTCAGCTGCTTGCAGGGGAGCTGCACCATCCTGACACCCTCCTGTGCAATGGTCCTGCTGCCAATGGGTTGTCTCTTCTCTCCCTCAGCCTGCAGCCACGAGACTCTCTTGCCTTTCCCCTTCTGCACGTGTTGTGGGGATGCAGCCATCAAGATCCAGTCCTCACATCACAATTCACACTCTTAATGAGTGAGGCCCAAAAATAGCCAGGGAGGGAAAAAATTCACCCTGAGATGGGGACTCCCTGGGGGTCACCCTTGAGCCCTTTCCTTGTGTGGGCAGTGCTGGTGTCATGGTCTGCTTGGTGCAGTGGCCTCCAGTGTGCACCACTGCATTGGCCCCAGAAAGAAAATTCCTCTGTGTGTGTATTGAAGGCTTGTGGGCTGGAGGAAACACAGTCACCTGCAATGAACTGATGTGAAAGGGGAAGAGAACACAAAAAGACCCCCAGGGGCAGAAAGGAGGGCTGTAGCAGGTGGAGGATGTGGCTGCTCTCACAGGCACCATGATAACACCAGGGCTGCTGAGCTGCACCGAGCCCTGGCCATGGTGGGGTCAGCAGGAGGGCTTGGGCTGGGGATCTACCTTGGGCTCATGCCACAGGGAGTGACTGTGTGTTGTGAGGTGAGTTTTTGGGAACTGTCCCTGGGTCACTGCTCCCCACAGTGATGAACTGGTTGTAGGACCATGGGATGGTGGGGATTGGGTATTCCCCATGTCAGCTGCTGGAGGCTGATGGCTTCCTCTGCTTTTTGGCCAGTGACTGTTTCACCCAGCAACAAGTGCCTGACAGAGGCAGCAGAGACTCTGCCCAGGCAAGCTGCTTTTCATTCCAGTACTGATAGAGGAGCCCCCTCAGGAGAGGTGAAATCCCAAGG